GTTAGTTACTGTTATTCTTATTTCCCCATTGCTCTAATACATGTATTGTTGTCAAATTTGTTGCTGTCATTAGGAATGAGGTTATAATTACATTATATATTACAGTTATATTTAAATACAATTACTCCATTATTATTTGTGTATTGTTATTGATATTACAGTGTTGTCAAGTTGGTGTAACACTAAATTACATTCACTCAGTCTCAAAAGAGTTGCTACAAGAAGAATTGAAAAGTGAATGCTATACCAATCGTAATTTTATTTGATTTATTTTAAATTTTTATATTTAGAATTAGAAATTTTACCTACTGATCTAGATGGACCAGATTTAATTCAAGTATGTATCAAAATTTTACCATCTATCCCTCTTATGTTTTTAATAAATTATTTTAATTTTGCCAGGTGCTCAATGGTTTGTATCCTCACGATATCGGGCATTATTTAGGAATGGACGTACATGACACGCCCCTTCTGTCTCATAACGTGGTTCTTCAGCCTGGTATGGTAATTACTGTAGAACCAGGTGCCTATGTTAGGAGGGACTTCCCCATTAAAAACCACATCAAAGCTAAAGAGTGAGTATTTTTTATTGTGTTATGAGCATTTTGTAAATAATTAGCATTTTATAAAAAGTATTGACTATAGCCCATGGTTTTTTCCAAAAATTTGCTTCAAAAACACCCCAAATTTTTATTACATTTTTAGATTGATTTTCTGATGTATATTGATGTCCTTATGCTATGTAGAAAGTTTGAGCTGATTCCAACATAATTTTTTCAAGTTATGACTGTTTTAAGAATCAGCTAATTTTTGAAAAAATCCCTGTACTATAGCCCATGTTTTTTTCCGAAAAATGGCTTCAAAATCACCCCAAATTTTTATTACATTTTTTGATGCATATTGATGCCCTTAAGCTATGTAGAAAGTTTGAGCTGATTCCGACTTTAATTTTTTAAGTTATGGCCATTTTAAGAAAATGCCAAAATTCTGAAAAATACCCAAGGCTATAGCCCATGGTTTTTCCAAAAAATGGCTCCAAAATCACCCCAAATTTTTATTGTATTTGCTGATACATATTGATGTCCTCAAGTTATGTAGAAAGTTTGAACTGATTCCAACTTTAATTTTTTAAGTTGCGGCCATTTTAAAAAATGATCCAAAATCTGAAAAATACCCAAGGCTATAATAGCCCATGGTTTTTCCAAAAAATGGCCCCGAAATTACCCCAAATTTTTATTGCATTTTCTGATAGGTATTGATGTACTTATGTTGTGTAGAAAGTTTGAGCTGATTCTGACTTTAATTTTTCAAGTTACGGCCATTTTAAGAAAATGCCAAAATTCTGAAAAATACCCATGGCTATAGCCCATGGTTTTTTCTGAAAAATGGCTCCAAAATTACCCCAAATTTTTATTACATTTTCTGATGCATATTGATGTACTTATGCTGTGTAGAAAGTTTGAGCTGATTCCATTTCTGATGCACGTAAATGTCTTTATGCCTCATGTGGACTGTTAGTATTATTATTTTTATTATTTTAGGTTTCTTGGAGCTGCTGTAAGAATTGAAGATGATGTCCTCATTACTTCTGATGGACCTCAAGTACTGAACAAAGGGACACCTCAAACTGTTGAGGAAATAAGTGCATTAATTAATAAATAATTAAATAATAATAATAAATTATTATTGTAAATTTATAATAAATTTATCTATATTAATTATTAATTGTCACTAATGTATTTTTTATATATATATTAAATTTATAAAAATCATTAATGATGATTATTATTATTAATCAATTCAGTAATTATTCTTTAAGTAGTTCATAGTCTAGTTCAAGTCTTTCGATAACATTTTGTGGTAGACAGAAAATCGGATTGACTCCTTTGATCTGTCTATTGCCTAGCAACGAGAGACCAGCCAATCCAAATAAGGTATGAAAAGGATCAACCTTTTAAAAAAGAAAAATAAATATTGTCTTTGTCTAGTATTTTCTTTTACCGAAATTAAATCAAATTTTAATTTAAAATTAAATTAGACTTAAAATTTTGTTACCATGTCTCCTGGTCTATCAGAGAATCCTCCTGTTTCATCATCTTGAGTTGCCATTATGAACTGAGTGAGTCTCTCCTCCAATGAGAAGGTACATTGAAGCTACACTGTACAACATTATAAAGCTAACCTTATCAATCCAGTGTATCCTACCAATGATAATAATAATAATAATAATTGTGTTTTTAATTTTGCATTTTAAAACAAAAAATTTGTTAATTTTGATATAGCAATAATAATTAATTTGTGCTCTCTCTCTCTCATTCAGTTATAGGTTTCATCAAAATAATGATTTCCTATACTTCACTGGTTTTCAGGAACCCGATGCTGTACTAATTATTGAGTCAAATAGTTCTTCACCTCTTCCTGATCATAACACTGTACTATATGTCACTGATAGAGACCCATTTAAGTGAGAGAGAGAAAAGAGAGAGGGAGGGAGAGATGTCAGATATTAATGCTTTCTTTGTTGCTAGGGAGAAGTGGGAGGGGCCTGTTTTAGGGCCTGATGATGCCGTTGGTTATCTTGGTGTTGATGAAGTAAATTTTTATTTTAAAAATTAAGTTATAGCTATTATTTTTATTTTAAAGTTATACTCAATAACATTGCTATCAGAACACTTGGAAAGAAAGTGAGTCTAGTATAAGTATTAAAATTTAACCATGTGCATGATTTTATGGATAAAATTGGAGATTTATATTTTGTGAATGGAC